AGTAGTACCTCTTCGGGCTCTTGTACACCTTTTTCTTGCTACGTGTGCGTGTTCTTTAGATCCTCAGATGGCTCCAGCACTTTCGTGACCACGGGCCGAGAGTCTTTGCTAGATTTTGGCATTTAGCAACTGGCATACGGTTTAATGTGAAGTCAACAACAACAACAACACACAACATCCTGATGAGGTTAGATACTTCAGTGCTGGTGAATGTGCTCTGCCTTCGAGCACTGCCATTTTGCGTCGCCTTGCTCAGTGGTGCTCGGTGAAAGTTTGAGGCATTTTTCACTCTTTTGTGAACAGGGCTGTGTCCTTAGTCGTCGACTTTCGTGCATGATTTTGTACGAACCGTGGACGTGCATCCTTCCCGTCGTCGGTGCGGATGTAACTTGCGACCAGTGGGGGTAAAACTGGGGGTGTAGTGATGAGGGAGGGATGGTTCACTTACATTTTCTCTTAGACCAGTAACCAGAAACGGGTATACCCGGGTACTTCGTCACTACTTTAGGGTACAGGTAGAAATCAACACGCTTGCACCCCCAGGCTGTCAGCTGATTGGCCACAAAAACGTTGTACCCATTTCTGAAGAAACTTCCATCGGGTTCAACTTCCGCTGGAATTCGAACCCTCTGATGTGACCGATATTGGTTACTGGTGTACCCGGAAGAGGTCGATATTGTACCCAGAAATAGTCATACAATCCCGGCGCCCGACGCTCTAGCATAAAATCCGCATAAAACAACGTGTACCGCATATACAATGTCCCGCACATACAAAACCACAACCAAACCACCAACAACGCTCGCTCGTTCATCGTTCATGGGCACCGCCTCCATAGGATACCGGCCCCTCTCAACAGAGGGACTCGCTTGACGCGCGAGTGCTTCGGTGTGGTACTAATCAGTAAAGGCACAGAGAGAGAGAGAGGCACAGAGAGAGAGGCACAGAGAGAGACAAAAACGGGCACGACCTCCCTCGTGCATCATGCTTCCGAGGCACAGGACGCACAGGACACAGACAGCGGTTTATTGATTTCGCCGCGATCTACGGCGGACCCTGTCGGAGACTGGTGTCGTGTTGATTTCCAAGTGTACCCTGAAATGGTGATAATCCACCCGGGTATACCCGTTTCTGGTTACTTCTTTCTTTTAAGGGAAATGGACACAAGCGGGTATACCCACGCCATTCTCGGACAAAAGTGGGCACTCGAAAATCCAGCGCGCGCGCACTCCATAGGCGGCCCCCAAACGACTCAAAACCCCATTCTGACACCTGGGCGACACAGCCAGGGACCACGCACAGCACGGGCATCGAGTTTTTCCCACTTTCAGGCACACCTTCGGCCCTAATGCCGCCGACGCGCGCAAGGCCTCAACAGAGTGCCCACTTCTGTCCGACATCGCAGTGGGTACACCCACCGGCGTCAACTAATTTTTTCATGTACCCACTTGTGTCCACATACGGATGGCGGAAATCGAGCGGAAATTGACCCCCACGTCGCCGCACGGCAGAACATCGAATAGCCTCGGAACGTCTCAGAATCTCCCAACCCCGTATCCATGGCATTTTTCGTATCCATGACTGCCGACTGCGGACCGACCGCGGAGGAACATGTCAGACACATGCCAGGCCCCTCCGGTACCGGCACGGGAGGATATCAGGCACGGAAAGATGCCGACAGTAAGCCCGGCAAGCAGCGCACTAACAGCACACGCCACAAACAAATGCGTGACACGAAACGGTTAAGAAAACCATGGCGCCGCCAGCAGTTGACAGAGGCGCACCCTCGCTTGACCCTGAGCGGGCGCCCTGCAGAGCAAACTGCCTCGACATCCTACTGCTGCCGTGACGAGTCCTTGTGCACTCGTCGTGGTGGCGGCTGATTCTTTCGTGTGTGTGAGTGTTGTTTGCTCTATGCGCGTCTTATTGTTCTGTGTGCGCGACCCCTTAGTTCGACCCGTTGGTTTTGTTGTCCGTTGTGTGTCACGCATTTGTTTGTGGCGTGTGCTGTTAGTGCGCTGCTTGCCGGGCTTACTGTCGGCATCTTCCCGTGCCTGATATCCTCCCGTGCCGGTACCGGAGGGGCCTGGCATGTGTCTGACATGTTCCTCCGCGGTCGGTCCGCAGTCGGCAGTCATGGATACGAAAGATGCCATGGATACGGGGTTGGGAGGTTCTGAGACGTTCCGAGGCTATTCGATGTTCTGCCGTGCGGTGACGTGGAGGTCAATTTCCGCTCGATTTCCGCCATCCGTATGTGGACACAAGTGGGTACAATTTGGACAAACGTGGGTCAAAATATAGACACAAGTGGGTTCATGAAAAAATTAGTTGACGCCGGTGGGTGTACACACTGCGATGTCGGACAGAAGTGGGCACTCTGTTGAGGCCTTGCGCGCGTCGGCGGCATTAGGGCCGAAGGTGTGCCTGAAAGTGGGAAAAACTCGATGCCCGTGCTGTGCATGGTCCCTGGCTGTGTCGCCCAGGTGTCAGAATGAGGTTTTGAGTCGTTTGGGGGCCGCCTATGGAGTGCGCGCGCGCTGGATTTTCGAGTACCCACTTTTGTCCGAGAATGGCGTGGGTATACCCACTTGTGTCAATTTCCCTTCTTTTAACCTCCATACCACGCACAGAAAATTCGGCGTTCTTGCGAAAATTTTTAAATGTAAGAACAAGAGCGAACGACGCCTACTGATTGGATGGTGCAGACAGTTCCATCCCTGGGTGCATGTGCAAAGCTGCTTTCCCACTTGAGCCGCCTCTTGTCTATAATCCCGATCAAATGTCCCCTCGATTCGAGGGGACATTTGATAGGGACTATAGACAGCATGGCGAGAGCGTGGTAAACGGGGCACGAAAAGAAGGTTTTCAGGTATTTCTCTAGAGGGAAAGCTAGACCTTCTAACCCAAAGCTCTACGTTGCCCGGTGCCTCCTTTCAACGGTGGGCTTGGTACTTCTTCCGCACTTGCCCCTATTAATAGTAGCGCTTCCCACCCAAGGGTAGACAGACGCGGCGCAACTTTCGCTGTTGACCCCGCGGCGTAATCGCCCCTCGATTCGACCTGTTCATTATCCTCATACTCCTCCACTCTACAAAGCATCCATACGAAACTTGAGTCGTCCTCGTGTACCCTGGCACCCCCCTGGTCGAGTAGTTCAAAGGAGGAGACAACGGTGCCATTCTTCGCGAGGAAAAGCAGGCGAAGAAGATGGGGACAAAAAGTGTCCCCACAAGGAGATCTAGCCCTAAAGGGAATAAACCGTAGCCGCTACTGCTGTATTTGGTATCTAGCACCAGACGGCAAGGAGTGGTAGACTCTCATGCTTTGATTGGGTTGAAAGGACAGCGCTCAGATCCACAGCAACATGTATATTCACACCTTCGGCCTGTTCAGGGTCAAGGTGGCGATGCCCTCCTCTTCCTGGTACAGCACACACGAAACACCATCCTCTCCCCCGCCGTCTCTGCCCCATCCTCCTCCGTGAACCCCTGCTTCTCGTTCCTCTGCTGGCGAGCCCCTGCGTGTCGGCGATATGAGCTCGACACTGCTCTCGTTGACCTCCAGTACTGCTGCAGAACACTGGCACTCGCATAGAATCCGACCGCCGTTGGCGATTCTACACTGCTGTACCAAGGCTGGCGGTGGCATACGTCGCGGTGGAGACAAACACCGCTCGGCTAGTACCATCGTGCGGAACGCCGGGAACGCAAGGCGTATGCCACACAGAACGTAGCAGCATTAACTGCAATACCCTCGTCGCAAGCAACCGTCGTTGCGGGTGGTGATCGTGAGGTGATGCAGGATGCCCCGCACCACAGCAGTGGTGCAAGTCTGATAACAAAAAAAAGGATAAAGAGAAAAAAAACAAAATGTGTGAGACATAACGCCTCGGGCGGGAAGCCATCCCTTGCCGAAACCCCTCGATTTCTTGCGGCGCAACAACTCAAGACCTCGCCTTCCACGGCCGGCTTCATAGGGCGCAGCAGGGCTGGGAGCGTCGACATTCCGGCTGAGATAGGTGAGGTAGCTATCTGTCAACCGTGCAGCCTTTGTTTCGTGCTAGTCCGTAGGGGTAGATTTCCAGTTTTTTCTCAGGGCGTACCACCGTAGGACAACCCGGAAATCTCCGAGTAAGGGTCGGATGCGCTGCAGTCTCTCCACGAGTCTATCGTGTTGCAACGAAATGTCGCTATACTGTTGATATCTTTTACAAAAAGTTTGGAGTTATTTGATCCGTCAGAAGATGAGCATGTTGAGATCAAGTTCAATATTGTTGCGGTATGCTGGAAAGATCCGAAACGCAGGTCTGCATACATGCACCGCAGCTCAGCAGATTGGGTTGTCTTGAAGTAAACATACACTACACGTGTCAAATGTTCGTGAGTCTGCGAACATTGCTGTTGGATACATGTGCTGGATGACTTTGTGTCACGCAGACTGGTACGATAGCCGTTTGATAGAGGGCACCGCGATGATTCACGGGGCCCCTCCTTGCTGTGGGAGCCGCTCTTTGAGCACCCCCTCTTTCGTCCGTGTGAAGGATGGTCGTCTACCTCCCGTGAAGTTAATACATCACCAAAACAGTCTCACCCGATAAATAAGTGGCGTAGGCCGCAAACACTCT